CCTCTGAATCGGAATGGACCCAGTGGCAGTGAATGAGTCTGCCCTGCATGTGTTTAACCGAAGGCTCCAACGACCACTTCTTGCTTGAGCTTCCAACCTCCTGGTCAGCCCTATAGGAGCCCTGGCCATGTAATAGATTACATGCTGGACTGCTAACAGCAAGGTCGGCAGTTCAACTCACCAGTCCAGTCTGAGTGGGAAAGATGAGGTTGTCTGCTCCTGAAAAGACTCAGAAACCCAAAAGGGCAGTTCCACTTTGTTCTACAGAAGCACTCCGGGTCGGAACCGCCTCAATGGTAGGCTGTGGACACGATGAAGTGACACAGTGGATACAACAATGGGCTCAAAGGTAAGAACAATTGTGAGGATGGCAAAGGCGTTCTGTTCTGGTACACAAAACGGGTCACTAGGAACTGGAACCGACTTGCCAGCACCTAGCAGCAACACCACCAGATTCCAAACTGGTCGGCCTCTAGCACTCCATGAGCCGTTCCTTAAAATAAGCTTTCTATCTCTCTGTGCATGTATATTTATATATTTATATTTATATGTGTCCCTGTGTGTCTATGGAGCCCTGGTAGCATAGTCGTTACACACTGGGCTTCAATCTGCAAGGTTGGCAGTTCTACCCTGGCCAGCCACTCAGCATGAAAAAGATGGGGCTTTCTTATCTCGTAAGGAGTTACAGTCTCGGAAACTCATGGGGGCAGTTCTACCCTGTCCTACAGGGTTGCCGTGAGTCATTATTGACTTGGTGGCCGTGAGTTTTTTATATGTGTACAGTGAACCCTCGCCACTTCGCGCTTCGACTTCCATGGCTTCACTCTATCGCGGTTTTTGCGTAACAGCACCCACTGCCTACACCCGCTCCTTCAGAGGAAAAAGACGGCGACCCACCTGTAGAGTACATCCCTTAAGTCATTTCATAGGCTATTGATTACAGTATTTGTAAGAACTATGTATAATACTGTATGTGAAATATGTAATACTGTAAACTAGATGCCATAAATAATATAATAAATAATAAATGATAATTGTAATGTCCAAAATGTTTTACTGTATTTTCCCTTTTTTGTTTAATAAATTGGGTAATACGAGTGTAATGGTGACTAAAGGGTGTTTTTTCATGTCCTCTGATGCTCTAACTACGAAAATATTTGATTTACAAATAAGGAATCCTACTTCGCGGAATTTCATTTATCACGGTAGGGTCTAGAACCGATTAACCGTGATAAACGAGGGTTCACTGTATATTTACATGAGTACATACACATCCATGTACACACAAGAATGATGGAGATGATAGCATATTTCACGATGCCTTCTTGGAACCTGAATTAGAAGAAATCATATACAATTTTCAGATCTTCAAATTCTCAAAGACAAGTGATGCGATAATTGAGAAAACGGATGGATTATTGGGCGGTTCTGTGACAGGTGAAGACAAACCTCTTTCAGGCTTCAACTGGGAAGGACTTTCCGATAGTAAACTCGCTGTCATTGACTTGATTCTGCCTCTTAGCAACCATATAGAACTAGAAAGAACTGCCCCTGTGGGGTTCAGAGGCTGTAACTCTTTACCAGAGTAGATATTCCATCTTTTTCCTGCAGAGTGGCTGGTGGTTTCAAACTGCCAACCTTGTGGTTAGCAGTCTAGCACATAATCACTATGCCACCAGAGCTCCTGTGTCAGATAGGTACCTGAATATAATTTTTTCAGACTTTCTTGATAAGATTCTGAAGTATATATATTGGAAGAGCTTATGAACAGGGAATAGTGGTGAATACGGATTACTGTGTGTGGTAGTTACATAATTGCATGTCAACTTGATGAATAGAAAGAAGGGGTAGAGTCTACCATGTCAATCTTGTCACAACCTCTCTTCCCCAGGGGCAGGACAGACACTCTCTCTGCTACACCTTCCTGTTGACAAGCCACATGGACTCACACTGATGGCAGCCAGAGCCCTGGAGATACATCCATTGCCATTGGATCCACAGGACTTTCCACCCACCAGCCTGTGATTCCTGCATTCAGCATCATTGCATGTGCTGTGTGAGTCTGAAGAGGAATTCATGGGGTAATACAGGACCTATGGACTATTATTGAATGTATGGACTTGATCTGGTCTGTGCTGGGATGTTTTATAGATGCATAATTACTTCTTCATATAAAGTTCTCTCTTACACATGTATGAGTGTTTCTGGATTTGTTTCTGTAGTCAACCCGGACTAACACATTGTGGCTAATTAATGAAGCATAAAACTGGAAAGAAATATTACCCTGTCAAGAAGGTGTTAATGAAAAGGCTAGGTTTCATAAGAAGAGACTGGGGGCGGGTGTCAGGACGAGGAAGCCAGGCGACAGGTCACGAAGCAGGAAGAGGATGAAGCTGCCCCTGCCCCGCAGCTGGCACTCACCCTCACTGAGGGAGGCACCTCTGCCCCAGGCACTGGAGCACAAGGTCATTAATGAATGAGCAGGGGACAAACTCGAGAAGAAATCCATTTGGTGGCCATCACATAGAAAGTGTCCAAAGATTTCAGAATCGTGAAGTGTTCCAGAAGAAATGCGAAGCGCAGTCAGAATGGTAATCAGAGGGCGGGGTGGAGGGAACAAAGAAGAGCAAGCAAGCAGGAACGTTCAAGGCAGTGGTTTTGATGGAAGTGAGAGTGGTGGTCCCAGGAGAGTGAAGGGAGGGTGGGGGAGAAAAGGGGAACCCATCACAAGGATCTACATATAACCCCCTCCTTGGGGGACAGGCAACAGAAAAGTGGGTGAAGGGAGATATTGGACAGTGTAAGACATGACAAAATAATAATAATTTATAAATTATTAAGGGTTCATGAGGGAGGGGAAGCACGGAGGGAGAGGAGAAAGGAGGAGCTCAGACCACAGGCTCAAGTAGAAATAAAACGTTGTGAGAATGATGATGGCAACAAATGTACAAGTGTGCTCAACACAATGGATGGATATATGGATTGTGATAAGAGTTGTATAAGCCCCCAATAAAATGATTTAAAGAAAAAAATTAAGAAATAATAAAATAAGTTATGTAGGAATAAAAAGGGTAGGGTATCAGAGCTGGATTTCACTCCCTTCCTCTTCTTTTTCCGCTTTCCCTGCCACTGGGCAGGGACTTTTATGGTGGATGCAATTTGCACAGCCAACCTGGTGACCCTGTCTTCACTCCACCCTGGAGTCTCATCTGGGCTCTCAACTCATCCCATTTTGCCACTCCCTCTCCCTTACTCTGGGATCCGACCCGAGGGGACAGAAGTGTTACTGGCCAGTCAGCATGGAGGTGACCATCTATGCTTAACCCTTTGCTTACTCTCATGAAGGGCCATAGATCATTTCAGCTCAAGTCTCTGCTCATTTCTGAGCATCTGGTTGATTCCTCAAGGAATTGCATTTCTACTTTCTCTCTCTTAAAGTTCTGTTCACACACATTTGTTTTTGCTGAATGAAGATATTGGAATGTTTAATAACAGGATTTCTTCTTCCAATAGAAAATATAAAGACTAGATACCTGTGCTCTTTAAAGGACTCCTGGTCAGGCTGAAGGCCAATTAGGCATTTGGTACATACGAGGGTTGGGAAATAGATGGGATATTTGGATTGCCATACAGTTCCCAGTTAGTTTCCAGGAAACGTGCACAGCCTTTGGTCTAGCTCATTGCTGCAAGCCAACACGAAGAGCAGATAGCACTGATAATAACACCGATCATGGTGATACCCGCTCATCACAAGACCTCCACAAAGAGTGGAGTTCTTGGGGCTGAAGGGACTGCGACAACAATGACACCACAATCAGACTTTACAAAATCCAGCTCTGACAACACGCAGCCTGTCACTGGACCAGAGGCTTCTTTCTTGATGTGTCAGAGTTAAAGGGATATGTGTGTGTGTGTGTGTGTGCGCGCGCGCGCGCGCACGTGTGTTTAATAGATGAGCCTATTTATTCGAGGCTCATAGAAATCTGTTTATTTTGACTGGACTCAGACTTAGGGGTAGAAGCTCTCAGAGAGGACGGACCCCGGCTCAGGGCAAGCTGTTCCTGACGTGCTTCTTTGGCTTCCTCCGTTCTCTTGGCCAAAAGCTTGCTTGCCTCTGTCACAGCCTCCTCCTGGTTTTTCCTGGTGCGCTGTTTCTAAAGGGCAGTGCGCCGCGCTTGGGGGCGCACACGAGGAGTCACCAGAATCTTGGGCATTTGGGTCCTGGGTTTCTTGCCGTTTTGTTACTTCTCACAACACCCTGGCGGACGTCATCTTCTTTCAAACGATTGACGAGTCTGCGGATTCTCAGGCGAGGAGGCACAGTTGTATCCGTCAGTCCTGGGATAGCTTTCTTCCCATATTTTACGATCACCAAGTCGAGAGCGCTCAGCTTGGCACCCACAGTGCAGCCCCGAACGGATTTGTGCTTCCTCTCCCCAGGTCTCCTGGGTCCTTTACTACACAGCAGACGGACGTGGGCCAGACACCTTGTGGTTCCTTCCCACCGCTGATGCAGACCCCATAACCAACCCTTCCACTCATCACCCAGCCGGCAGGGCCCCTTCTGCGGCCAGTCGCTTGTCATCAAGGTGCGGATTTGGCGTTCATCGTCCACTTCGGTGAGTTTCTGGCTGCCAGTGGCTGGGAAGGAGCTATTCAGAGGAAGCAGCCAATCACCCCCTTAAATGTGTTTCTTGATTTTAATTCTATAGACTTATAAAAACAAAACCCCATAGCCTTGTAACTATTTTCACCAACCTCACAAGCCTTAAATCACTTTTGTACCTTTCTAGGTACCGTGATGCCAGAATGACACAAACTTGGCACGAGCTGAGCACACAGCACCATCAATTCCAAAATTCCCAAGTTTGGGATAAACAAACAAACAAATACACATTCTAGCATTGATTTTAAAACATGTCTAAGTTTTCTAAGACCCAAGGCCTGTCTTTAATAATGGTGTTCACGTGATGTGCTCTAATTCACAGAACCCAGGTTACCTGGTTGGGATCAGGTTCCATCTCGTCCCAGTTGTGTGAGACATGCCCTTGGTCGATGGATTCAAAAGGCTTGTGAGAAACGGAAGGCAGGATCCTATACAGCCAGCTGTGGGGAAACAAGGGCACACAGGCTTTCGAGTGAGATTGATACATAGACTGGCTCCGGGGGCCTAAGGAAGACACTCTAATCAGAAGCTCCCGAGGCTTTCTGAGTTAGAAGAGAGGACACCAACATCACCTCTATTGACCGTTGCTGCTCATGGGCCTGGCCTCTTTCCACCTTTCCACTCTACCCATCACCCTTCAAACTCAGACCTCGACTCTTGGATATTTACCTGCTGACCAAGGCGAGGGTTGTGGATAGTTGCCTTTTCCAGCAACTATAAAGGAAGGGGAAGTACTTTGGGAACTATATATACCAGAAAAATCACAGAAACCTATGACCTTAGAGATCAGAGGACAATGAATTCCATGGAGATTAAAAGAATTCTGGATTTGACTTATTTGTTGTTGGGATTATTCTTTTATCCATTTTGAAATGTAAATTAATTTTCCTTACTTAAAATATAAAATTAAACATGCCAACGAGAAAAAGAATGCACATGATTTTTTAGTGTCCTGAAGATAAACATCTCCTTTCCTCTAATTTCCTCAGAGGCATCAGAGCTTAAGAGTTTGTTTGTGAATTGCCACATCACTGTAACACCTTATGCTCTGAGTATAAGCACCTGTCACCCACACTGTTATAAATAGCTAGCACCACCAGTTGCCATAGGTTTACTTCATCATATGACGATCTCACATGTGTCCGAATAGAACTGTAACTCATAGGTTTTGCTTTTTTATCTCTTAAAAAAACAGTTTTATTGATATATAACATATATGACATATATCATACAACTCAGTGGTTTGGATATATTAAAAAGAGCTGTGTGATCAGCACCACAATCAATTTTAGAACATTTTCTTCATTTTTTAATATTAATTTCTATCAGCTCCTCATTTAACACCCAACATATCCCGTCATAATAGAAACTTTTAATTAAATTACTGTCTCTATAGATCTACTTATCCCAATTTCATAAGAAGAAAGTCAGACCAAAAAAATAACATAAAAAAACCACACAATGACATGAAAAAAAAAACCACAGAAAAACTAGAACAAAGTAAAACACATTAAAAAACTGGAACAAATTAAAAACAGGTCACAAGGCAAAATAAATGAGAAGATATTAAAATTTAACCTAACTGTATCTCCATTAATTCACCTCCTGAAGCACTCTGTCTTAGGGCAAGGCAGATTCCTGGTCAAGGGTTTGAGGGAATTCAATAGAGGTTTAATCCCCATGGGGACTCTGCAAATGGATTTGGGGTTTTTACGGTTCTCCAGACCTGACTGCACACTGGGAACTCGGAATGTAAGCTCTGATACAATTTCCTCCTCTGATCTTGGATTTTATTAGGTCCTATGGGCTGAACTGCTTCTTCCATATGGGCTTAGCTGACACCTCACTTAGATGACTACTTGTTTTAAGACAAGTCTTAAAAGTACCAGATGCTATTCTTTCGGCTCACAAGACACCATCTGCTTTCTTCACGACATAAAGCACCCATAACTTCAGTGATTCCTTAGTTAGGGTAAATATTGAGCAGAGCTATAGCATAAGAACTAATTGTTCTTTGGTGAGGGCTTACGATGAAGTGTGAGCTCCAAATCCATTCATATATCTAAGATCTATAAATATTGCCCTGCCCTTCGTTAGTGGCAGCATCATCAGCTTTATGAGGAATAATACAAGGAACCTCCAGAAGGCTTCTGGTAAATAGTATCATTACACTAGCCAATGGTTAGGATTTAAAGTGCAAGTGAAATGAGAGGGCATTTTCATATACGGGAAAGCTTTTTTAGACTAAAACACACGGGATGTTCACTTATATATAGTACAAAGCTTAGGTGACTGAATCCTGTTTAAGAAAACAATAAGGGTTAGAAATAAGGGACACTCATTCACTTTGGCAGAACAGTGTCTGCAGAACTAAGGCCTGTCTTTAAAACCTAAGAAAATATGAAAGTGGCAAACATATGGTAGTCTTAAGTTGCCTATTATTGGGCAACCTCAAAGCAAGAGCTATGAACTGAAGTCCAGTGACTTCCAAATCCATGATCTTGGGGTAGCAGTCTTCCATTTCTCTTACTAGGGCATTACAGTTTTAAGTCCCTATCAGTGCCTTTGATCTACCACCGCTGTGTTTGAGGTCAAGTCTGGTTCACATCATTGGTTTTCTGATATTGCCTATGTAATATGCTATACATCATGAAAAGACAAAATCTAGCCTATAGTATGAGGCCTGGGTCATGAATGCCTGAGAAGAAAGTCAGTTCAAATGACATGAATAGCCATGTACTACAGGGTGAATTCTCCCCTGAGGGGGCCCATAAAAGCAATGTCAAGAGTTTTACCCAAGAGCAAGTTACCATCCCCACCCATTCCTATTCATCAACAGAAATGAGAAATATCTTAGAGCCAGATATATCCCACCTCCTCTTGACCGGGACTCTCTAGCAGAGTGTACTGAACACCAATGTAGGCATGTCTACCCAGTAAGGATGACTGTAGGGCATTGTCATATGGCTTGGAGTATTTGGTCTGCCCCCACACCCCACTATGGAGAAACTGTTCCCAGCTGTGGTGAGGCCTCCCCTGGAGAAGTGGTCTTCATGATATGTAAATAAGGGATTAGATAAATGAATTGAAAAGGAGCCCTGATGGCCTAATGCTTACGAGTTGGGCTGCTAGCCTCAAGGCCTGCAGTTCAAAACCACCAATGCTCCTTGGGAGAAAGACCAGGCTTTCTACTCCTGTAAGTAATTAGTCTTGGAAACTCACAGGGATAGTTCTACCCTGGCCTACAGGTCAGCCTAATGGCAAGGAGTTTGGTTTTTGGAAATAGGTTACTAGTGTTAGACAGTCTTACCATGCCATTGTCTGGAAGGCCTGATTGAATGACTGCATGACCTCAGAGGTACTGCCTGTCTTTGTGTTGGTGCTTGTATTTATGTCCATTTGTGTTTAATAGATTTGCTCAGCATATTGTTCTTGAGGTATAGGCATGCCATGCGGTGCTTCATGACGTAATGATTGCATTTTAGGGAGGCGTAGGATTCCATCGTGTGCATGTACCAAAGTGTCTTGACTATTCTTCTACTGATGGGTTTGGGGGCTATTTCAACTCCTTGCAGTTATGAATGGTGTTGCAATGACCATGGGAACACAGCCATCCATTCCCGTTATATCTCTTATTTCTTTAGGGCATCTGCCCAGCAAAGACATTGTTGTGTTTTATGGGCTTTCCATTCCTAGCTGTTTTAGGTAGTGGCATATTTCAGTCTCAGCAACCCACAGGGGGTGACTATGAGTCAGCATTGACTCAATGGCAGTAAGGGAGTATATTGTTTCTCGGATGGTTGTCATGTTTACAGACCCACCAGCTGGGTCTGAGAGTTCCAGTCTCACAGCACCCTCTCCAGCATTGTTTGTTTTCTAATTTTCTCAATTGAGCTGTCATTGTCATTGTCAGTGTACAGGGTCATTATATGTCAGAATTGACTTGATGGCATTGGATTTGGTTTGGTTCTTTGGCCATGTGTGTTAGTCTGGGTAGACTTGGGAAACAAACCCACAGAAACTCATACATGTATAAGAGAGAGTTTTATATAAAGGATAAGTGTACATTCTGAAAGCATCCCAACCCAGTGCTGTCCAAGCCCATAAGTCTGACACCAATCTACAAAGCCCTTCTCCGTCTCACAAAACACATGCAATGACGCCGACTGCAGGAGGAAAGCTGAATCGGTGAGCATGTAAGCATGTAAGCACACGGCTGCTCCAGCACCCACGGCTGCATCAGGGTAGGTCCATGTGGCTTCTCCTTGGGGATGTCTCACAGGAAGTGAGCCTTGCCAGCTGAAGCAGGGAACTGGCTAAGGCAGCTGCACCCTGGTCCAACCATCAGAAAGCAAGAGACCAGAGAACTAGAAAGACGAGACTCAGCCCAGCCATTTATCTCTTCACCTTTCAATTATTCCCACATGTGTCTATAGGCCAGGTTGGCACAATAAACCTTAACTATCTCACTGTGTAAGGTGATATCTCATCTTTGATTTGATTTGTGTCTCCTCGATGGCTAGTGATTGTGAGCATTTTTTCAAGTGTTTGTTTAGCCATTTGAATATCTTTTTTGGCGAACTGTTCATGTCCTTTGTCCACTTTTTGATGGGATCATTTGATTTTTTTTTCTCGTTGAGGTATTGCAGAATTCTATAGGTGTCTGTTATGTCATTGCTCATTTATTTTTCCTGTTCTATGAGTTTCCTGCGACTTTTTCATTTCATAGGGTTTTCAGTGGCTGGTTTTTCAGAAGCAGACTATGAGACCTTTCGGAGGCACCACTGGATGGACTTGAACTTTAGGTGAGGAGTCAAAGTGCCTGAACTGCTTGCACCACCCTGAGACTCCTAAAAAGTTTGATACTCGTTTTTATTTATTTATTTCTTTTACCATGAGCAAGATTGAGAATTGTTTACTTTGGTTAATGGCCCTTTGTATAATTTCTAAGGATTACTTGTATAAGTCTGGGACCTTTTCCTATTAGGTTATAAAACTTTTTATAACTAACTTGTAAGAGGCTTAGGAAATTAGTACCTCTGAACTCAAAATTACTAGTATGTGTGCCCAGTTTTCTTATACAAGTTTATAGTGTGTTTATTTTTTTACTTGTCTCAGCCTGAGTCAAAGGTCTCCCTTTCAGGACCCCAACCTCAATTCTCAGGAAGGAAAGACATCTGAGGAGGAAGACATCAATGAAGGAACATGCAGGTGACTAGGGGGAGAGATCTATGGATGTTAGGAGGGGCACAGATTGACCAAGTGAGACCCAAGCCCTTCCAGAAGCAATTACCCAGACAGAATCTAATAGGAAGAGGGATCCTACTTCTGTCAGTGGAAGACCAGATGTGCTTTAACAGGCTTTCAGTTTGACCAATTAATCCCCAGGGCAGTCTATGTCAGGGAGTTGACCTGGATCAACACTGAAGCACCTGTGGTGGGATGACAGGGGGCTGTCATAGAGTTCGATTTGTCCAGCTTCTATTTGATTCATCTAGTTCTCGATGACTTGACTTGACATCTTTCACTTTAGGCCAAGAATAAGCCATGTTTTTCTAGCATTCAGTAGTATATGGGTTGAGAGCATGTGTGTATGTGTATTTTAGAACCCGTGGTGTGATCCTAGGCAAGCTAATAAACATCCTTGCTCTCTGGGTTCCTGATCCTTATCTCCTAGAATTACTTGAGAACTCAGAGTGTACCTATCTCCTAGGATTGGGTGAGGACTCGGAAAGTTTGTGCAGTAGAAGCTCATGTATTTGATGCTTGTGGAATTGTCCAACTCCCTTTCATCACTGGAGTGATTCTTATTAAGGCCTAGATCTTCTACCTGACTCTCTGTTCTTGACTCATTTCTGCAACATCAAAGGGATCAGCTAACTGATATAATAAAAATGAATTCCTGATAGAAGACAGTTGGGGGGTAACCCTGCTCTCTGTGGTTTACTGTCAGAATTTCAGACTGGTCCAACCTATGGGTAAGGTTGGCCCTATCTTCCCATGGGGGATATTGAGCATTTTCACAAAACTCTGGGGATACCTTCAGAGTTCTAAATAGATGGGTGAGCCATGCCTAGTGTCCCTTCTTTTTTAGCTAAGTCTGTAAAATTCCCCAGGCAGCACTACATTGCTCTGGACAGAGATTTAATTCTGATTCAGGGAGCAGTGCCAGTTTCTTAATGAAATGCCAACAGCTCCTTTTCAGCCTCCTAGAACCGAGCTCAGCTCCTGCTGGCTGGAGAGATTGCTGAATAATGGAGGCAGGCAGCAGAATCTGAAGTCCAGGTGTCCTGTTAGTGGATGGACCATAAAGTCAAGAGCATAATCATGGAAGCTGGTTGCCATTAATTAGAATGGACAGGAGTTGTCTGTGTGTTTCCCTGACATTGACTACTTACACTTGCATAATTAACCCGATAGGTGACAGGTATGGGACACCTTTCTCCAGGTACACATATATATTGAGAGAGAAGCAATACTGATACTGACCTGGCAACCAAGCACCTGCTCTCTTTCTCACTCAGTTCTCAGACAACCTCTCAGACACACCCTGGCATTGAGGCAGAACCTTGGCTCCGATGGCATGACTGTGGATGACGGTAATAATAACCCACAGAAGCTGAACCCTTACTCTCATGAGTTAATTTGTTTATTGTGCCAATCTGGCCAATAAACACATGTGGGATTAATTGAAGGGTGGAGGGATAAATGGCTCGGTGAGCCTCAACTTTCTAGTTCTCGGGTCTTTTGCTTTCTGATGGTCACACCAGGGTGCAGCTGCCTTAGCAGTTCCCTGCTTCAGCTGGCAAGGCTCACTTCCTGCAAGACATCCCCACGGAGAAGCCACATGGACCTACCCAGATGCAGCCCTAGGTGCTGGAGCACCCGTGTGGAGACCCTGCCAGCGCTGAGATGCTTACACATTCACTGACTCGGCTTTCCTCCTGAAGTCGGCGTCATTGTGTCTGCTTTGTGAGATGGAGGAGGACTTTGTGGATTTTGTTTATTGGTGTTGGACATATGGGTTAATGTTGGACTTGTGGGCTTGGGCAGCACTGGGTTGGGATATTTTCTTGATGGGCACTTAACCTTTATATAAAACTCTCTTATACACGAGTTTCTGTGGATTTGTTTCTATAATGTACCCAGACTAATACACCCTTACTAGGAAATATATGAAGAACTTGGCATATATTCTTCTTTTTTATGTGATGACAATTCAAGGACGTTGGTCACACTCTTCAAGTTGTGTAACCCTTCTCACCCTGCTTTTCTGAACCCTTCTTTCCCCTGTGGCATGAACTCAGCGTCCCCTAATCTTGCCGTCTAACCTTTCTAGTTGCTGCTGTCTGTTGGATTCCATATAGATAGCTCTTCCAACGAGTACAATGTTCAATGAAAACATTCTTTATTAAATAACCTGATTTAATGTTTGGTATAAAGAAGACTTCAAGGAATATTTTGGAGTTGGGGCTTAAAGACTCTTTCAGGGCAACATTCTGGGGATTCATCCAGTCCCAAAAGACTTTCTTTCAATCTTCCCTGTATCTATGAAGTAGTTGCTATTATTATTGCTATTTTATAAATGCGGAACTAGAGGCTCTGAGAATGTAGATGATTTTCCAAGGTCACACAGTTAGACAGAGAAGGAGTCAACATTTAAAGCCAAGGGGTCCGGCACTAACGTGTGCATGACTAATCACTAAAAGCAATAGTCTTTTCTATCGATGTGGTCTGATGTACTTGCTATCTTGTTGGTCTCTGAGGGGAATCCTGTGGCGATAACCCCAGTCCCACCTGCTAAATCCTCCTCCCCAAATCCCTATTGGTGGCAGCAGCCCTCTTCACAGATGGGCTAACCTGAAATTCTCACAATCAAGCCTGTTTGTTTAAATCACATCACCTACTGCATTCCACCTGCCCCATAGGAGCTAATCAAGGGAGCAAGTTCACTGACCTGGCTTGTAGGATTACAGCAAATGTGGAACATGACATACTGTGCTAATGGCTGTGCTGATTTTTCAGCAAAGACATTCCAGAGAGGAAAAACATTATTAATTCAAACCACAAGGAGCCTTAATACATAAGCTCTCAACTACCCAAGCTTGGATTATCCAATATTTTCATGCAAAGTCTATAATGCCTTCAGTCAGCTGAGGAAGATTTTGCTCTGAATCATCTATCATTTGAGTTAATCGTTAAAAAAAAATGAGTAGATGAAAAACCAGCACTCAACTGGACAACCCTTCCACCAAGGACAGTCCATTAGACCATTTCTTCGATGTAGAGGTGGGAATTTGTGAATGGAACGGAGCACGCATGTTTTCCAGGCCACGTGCAGCTGCTTCCTCATCTTTCTTCCACCAGTCCCTTGAATCTACCTAGCAATAAGAGTCACAGAGGTATTCCCTCCAGCCCCCTAGCCCATTTCCCACCCTCTGCTGATATGACACCAGAATAGAACATTGGGGAAGCCCCCGGAGACCATGGCCCAATCGTAGGTGGCAGGCACTAAACTCCGGCCATCATTCCCACACTCTGCAAGTCATAATTCATCTAAGCCTTGTACCTTCTTTTATTGGAGCTTCTTGGACAAGTGAACGCCGATCCCGACAGCTGCTCAGCATACAGGTTGTACGGGCAAACCTGAGGGTTATTCTAAAACAAAGGAGGAAGTAAATAGCATCACTCCAAACAGAAAATCAAACAACAATCCACATCCCCACCAAGCATCTCAACAGGGAAGCCTGCCCTGGATGGCGATGCTCTGGGCCACTGTAGTTGTGATACCCATGTATGGGTGTAGGTGTTGGGGCACCGCAATGAGGGACCACGTCAAGAGCCCCTTGAAGTGAAGGGACCCACCCATGAAAGGGGAGTCTGCTGTTCATCCTCTGGACACAACCATCCCCAACCCATCTGCACGACTTGTCATAACTTTTCAGGTGACTTTGTTTCTTTGGTTATGAAAAGTGATACTTGCTTATCCTAGAAATGTTACAAAATATATTGGGTCTCCCTCCTCCTCTCACCGACCAGAAATAATCCAGCGCTAACATGTTGTGGAACAATTCCATTACCTTTTCATTGTCCACAAACGTGGACAAGAAACTTGTGGAACAATTCCATTTCCTTTTCATTGTCCACAAACGTGTTGAAGTCACCTCTATGTTTCCTACCTCCCTTATGCCCCCAGCGGAGATCCTATGATCTGTGGAGTCTTGTCAACAAGACTTCGTTTCTTCTTAAGTAAATACCAGATCATCCATGTTTGTTATGCCATGACATACTCTTCGAAAAATGTTGGGAAAGAAATATTTGCTCTTGGAACCAACACTAGTGTGAATACTCTCTGCATTGATGATTTAAAGGACCCAATTACTTTGCTATGCCTTAGACTGTTGAAGGACATTTCAAGGAAATCTCCTTAGTCCTAGACTTTAGGATTCGATTAGCTAGCTAATCTCATTATTTTGGGTTGTTAGTATTTTAGCCACAAGTAATCACCAGCCCAGCTTTAATCTTTGTATTGTCATGGGCCTGTATCCCAATTGTCTTAACGACTGGGTGCAACTCTTAGACAGGTTACAGGATAAATCCCAAGAGCCCTGGTGGGTGGACATGCTTGGCCTGATGTTTAGTCATGCAAGCCTATGGTTCAGAGTCTGGAAGCTGGCGGCCTAGTCTCTCATACCTGTCCTTCAGGCAGCGCACCCAGGCACCGAGGGTCCTCCGAGGCACACTCGTTCCCAAATCCTGAAATGTACTGCAAGAGACAGACATGAATGTTACCTCATGAATGACATTTAACGAATGTTGCACAACACTGGTGATCTATGAAGGCAAGGATTGCTATATTGACATGGGTCCTGGTATATATAACATCTTGGCAAGTGAACTGTGGAGGAGAGATGATCGGCTCTGTGTGGATTTAAGACACTGCCAAGTAACAGGGGGATGAATGTCAGATACTTCAGACTTCTTTATTCATAGCTGTAATGGATCGATTTATGGGCTTCTTCTTCATGACCCCAACCCAGAGCAATTTCTTTTATTCTGATGGCATCAGAGAGTGCCTGAGAAGGGAAATGGCTCAAGCATCACTTCAATTCCAAATTAGTCAAACCTCCTGGGCCTAAATGGCACTATTCTTGAGCCTGAGCTCGGGGCTCCCCTCGCCTCCCTACTCTGAGACAAGCAGCTGGGAGTAGGAAGATTATGCCAGACTATCATTGCCACCTACCAACCCAAAGGTGTCACAACAGGAGGTCATGGATAGAATGAGAAGGAAACGTGGAGCACAATTCAAAACCTTCCAGAAATGTCAGGCCTACTGGTCTGCTTGAGCCTGGAGGAACCCCTAAGACTAGTGCTTAGAGTATTCAAACCTGGAATTAAAAACACCCCTGAGGCTCCATTTTGAGCCAAACACTAGACAGGCCTAGAAGCTGAACTAGGAGCCCGGGCGTTGCAGTGGATTGCCCATTGGGCCGCTAACTGAAAGGTCAGTAGTTGGAACCTACCAGCCACTTCGAGGGAGAATGATGAGGCTTTCTACTCCTGTAACAATTTACAGCCTCAGAAACCCAAAGGGGGGCAGTTCTACTCTGCCCTATTGCCTTCTATGAGTTGGCATCAACTCAGTCACTGTGGGTTTGAGTTGATAGGTAAGCGAGCAAAGACAGCGGGGAGATACAGGTGCCTTAAAAGAATGAACCACAGGAAACCAAAAGGGCAGCCTTTGCTTGGGAATAAACTTCCGAAGGCAGGAAGGGATAGGGAAGAAGGAGCAGTAGAAACAGAAAGCACAGGGAAGACGTGGCAAGAAAGAGTGCTGTAACATTGTGGGGAGGGCAGTCAAGGTCACGAGACAAAATGTGCATGAATTGTTGAATGGAAAACCAAGTTGCTCTGTAAGCTTTCTCCAGAATCACAACAAAAAGCTAAAAGAGGGAAAAAGAAAATAAATGAAAACCCTTAAGAGAAAGTTCTCCAAAACTAACCCGGCTCCAGGCTGAAGACTGCCTCGCTGGCTTGTCTGTGGAGAGCGAGTAGGCTCACACACCAGTGTTGAGATGAATGCATGAGAACAGAGGTGTCGGTAAATATGTGGCTTTGTGGGGAAGAGTCAGTCGAAAATCTGTCCACAGGGGTACAATGATGTCTCTCTGATGACCATTTTTTTACTTTAACCCCAGAGAGAAAAAGAAGTAAAGAGGTAGCTCCACAAGGGAAATGAGGAGGGGCCTCTTGAACTCCCCCTTGTGGCTGTAATAGGTCTGTCCCTGAGCCTAGAGAAAGCACTCGGTAGATGGATGAATTGATTCAGTCACTGGCTTAGAGCCAAATTCTCTTTAAGAATCTCCTTTTCTGGAACTTAATCTCTTTCTCTCCCCAACACACAAAACCCACGATAATTTTTCTCCTTCTTAAAAATAAATGTACAACATATGCAAATATATTATATGAGGATGGGGAAATAGATCTATGAGCCTACATTTATAGGTTTAGTATTAAGGTAGCAGAAGGACATTGGGCCTCAACTCAAGCACTCCCTCAACGCAAGAATACTTTCTTCTAGTAAATTGGCATTCTATGATGCTCACCTTCCCGACACAACCGCTGAAGACAAAGCGGGTGAATAAGCAAATGTGGTGAAGAAAGCTGATGGTGCCCGGCTATCAAAAGATATAGCGTCTGGGGTCTTAAAAGCTTGAAGGTAATCAAGCGGTAAAAAAGCTTGAAGGTAATCAAATGGAACAACATATCAACCTGTGTGATCACGAGGTGTCGAACGGATCACTGAAGACAAATGGGTGCATAAGCAAATGTGGCGAAGAAAGCTGATGGTGCCCGGCTATCAAAAAGTATAGCATCTGGGGTCTTAAAGGCTTGAAGGTAATCAAGCGGCCATCAAGCTCAGAAGCAACAAAGCCCACATGGAAGAAGCACACCAGCCTATGCAACCACGAGGTGTCGAAGGGATCAGGTGTAAGGCATCATCAGAACAAAAAATCTTACCATAGTGAATGATGGGGGGAGTGAGGAGTGGAGATCCAAAGCCCATTAGTAAGCCACTGGAGATCCCCTTGCAGAGGGGTCTCGGGGAGGAGATGAGCCAGTCAGGGTGCAATGTAGCGATGATGAGAAATACAACTTTCCTCTAGTTCCTAAATGTTTCCTTCCCGCTCCAACTACCATGACTCGAATTCTATCTTGCAAGACTGGCTAGACCAGAGGAGGTACACTGGTACAGATGGGAACTGGAAATACAGGGAATCCAGGACGGATGAGCCCTATAGGACCAGTGGTGTGAGTGGCGAAACAGGGAGGGTAAAGGGAGAATGGGTAGGAAGGAGGGAACCGATTACATGGAACTGTGTGTGACCTCCTCCCTGGGGGACAGACAACCAAAAAGTGGATGAAGGGAGACGTCGGACAGGGCAAGATATGACAAAATACCCATTTATAAACTATCAGGGGCTCATGCAGGAGGGGGGAGCGGGGAGGGAGGGGAAAAATGAGGACCTAATGTCGGGGGTTTAAATGGAGAGAAAATGTTTTGAGAAACGATGTACAAATGTGCTTTACACAATTGATGTGTGTATGGATTGGGATAACAGTTGTATGAGCCCCTAATAAAATGTTTAAAAAAAACAACCAAACAACAAAAAAAATAAATGTACAAAAAATTATAGTTGTCAAGTTGACTCCGATTCGTGGCAACCCCATACATGTCAGGGCAAAACTATGTGCTCCCAAGAATTTTCAAGGGCCAAATCTTTGGAAATGACAATGAGTCACTAAATTGTTCTTCGGAAGGCCTACTGGGTGGACTTGAGCCACCAATCTTTCACTTAGTCGCCAAGGGCTTAACCTTTTATACAATCCGAGGACTCCTTATCTTACTGGAGTTGTTCCTAATCCTTAGCTACTATTCAAACGGAAGCACAGCCCAGAATGATAGACGTATAACCTCGTTCAGTGAGTGAAATGCCACCATTTGGAAGAAATGCCAAATGTGAAATGTTATGGCCTAGAAATCAATGGGAGGGAAATTATTCTTTGTGCCGTCAGATACAATTTCTGGTATATTTGAAAATCTATCAGCAACAATCCCCCCTCCCCTCCCCCCACTCCCACCACCCCCAAAAGAAGAGAACATGCAGAGCCATATCACATACAGATTGGTTAAGAGCAGTGGCATGCAACAGTTTGGAATGATTTCTTTGGGGGAACGACACACAACCTTCAGCAATCTGACCTTCCACTCATTACAAGTTTCTTCTCTCAAAATGACCCCCCTGCTCACCATCCATAGGTTGGAATTTGAGCTGCTGAGAAATGACAATGAGTCCCAATTGCACAGGAATCACTGAGGATTACAGTGGCTTCACTTGGCCCGATGGCCATTTGGTTTCTCTCTCAGCACGAGAGGAAGGAAGGGTTGAGGGCCAGTGCAGGCGGCTGAGCCGACAGACTTGGGAGGACGTACTCATTCACCTTCCCCATCCTTTACAATCGCTGGCCGCCGAACAGAGTCCAGGCTTAGATGTGAGTTTAGAGCCAGGGAAAGAGACTTTGCCTATGTGGGTATGACACGTTTGACTCAGACTGTCTTTGAAAAATTGACCAGAAAGTAGAAGGAGTGGGCTGGTGGTTTGGAAGGGAGCCATATTTAACAAATAGACAAGAAAGTACAGGAACGGGCTGGATCGGTTTCTGGACCTTAGCTGCAGTGCATTGGCTGAAGAGCGGGGTGGAAACTGGAAACTGCTGACTCACTATCGAATCAGTTCCTAATTTGGCTTTCCTAATTTACTGAAGGAAAAATGAGTTTATGGGAGTTTACGTGGCCCGCCGGGAGGAAGGTATCTGAAGTGAGGAAGCTGTATTCTAAAGCTGATTTCATGAGGCTTTGAACTCAAGGACACTCAGTTCTAGCTGGCTCAGTGACCGTAATAAAAACATTCAGACAACAAACTTAAACACAAAGCATTCAGCAAGTGTGTTTGTGTATTTTCTTCAGAGCAGATTTCTGCATCCTTTGATCCAACATAAAAATATGATTTCCTTTCTCTCCAGGAGGGGATTGCACGCACGTGTTCTAGATGTAGGAACAAATAACTGAGCTCCATGCGACTTCAAAACCGCTGGTGCTTTGGCAGCTCACTAGTGTTTCATTCTCCCCTGGCCCCCTGACACATTTATGTGCCAGAGGTGATTTCTCCTGACTCAGCTTCTAGGTCACCCCCTGACGGGATGAGCAGATGACGTTCCTGACCTCCCTTTGCATTTTAAGTCACTGCGTTTTTGGTGAACATTTTCCACAGCAAGTTGGGATCCTATGTTCGACCATTTCTGCCCAAGTTATTTGGTGGTATTAATGATGTTTACCACACTGTGCCAGCATTACCTTTATGCTCGGTTTATTCCCCTTTCCACTCCACTAGTTCGCCTGCCCCCTCTCTTCTCACCTTTACTGCTGTTGCTGTCGACTGGGCCTGACTCACTGTGGCTCTGTGTCCAACAGAACGAAGCATCTCACAAATATTCTTAGGTTTGAGCCCGTCGTTGCAGCCACTCCTTGAACGCCTTCTTCTTTTCCACTGCTCCTCTACTCTCCCAAGCTTGATGTCCTTCTCCAGGGACTGGTCTCTCCTGACAGCATGTCCAAAGTATACAAGACGCAGTCTTGCCGTCTTTGCCTCTCAGGAGCACGTTGGTCATACTTCTTCCAAGACAGATCTATGGGTTCTTTTGGCA